GGGGTCGCGACCCCTTTGGTGGTCGAACGACCCTTTCACAGGGGTCGCCTAAGACCACCCTGCAGATCAGATATTTACATGCCGCTTCATAACAGTAGCAACATGACAGTGATGCAGTAGCAACGAAAATAATTTTATGGTTGGGGGTCACCACCACATGGGGGACTGTATGAAAGGGTCGCGGCATCAGGAAGGTTGAGAACCACTGACTTGGGACCATTAAAGAAAACAAGGAAGCAGCTCCGTGCTGGCCGCCCCTGGCCTGGCCCCCGGGGAGGGGACGTGGGGCTAATGCGGGCTTTGTCGGGGCGAAAGGCTGTGGGGCTGTGATGTCCGGGGGACCTTCTCTGTGGAGAGCTTGCTCCAAGACGGCCCCTGGCAGAAGTTTTGCAAACATTTCCAAATAATTGAAACAAAGGATCTCTTATTACACCCGAGAGTGTAACAATACATTGCTATCTTTTTTTAAATTATTATTTTTTTGATCCTTTGAGCATATTTTTCCATTGATTTGTTTTTTCCCCGATGCAAAAGCAAAGAGCCTTTATTCGAGCTAGCTGGAGCTCCCCGTCCACCACACTCACCGGCGCAGCAGCAGGAGGCAGAGAGAGCTCCATTGATTTCTTTTTAGAGAGAGCGGCAGGGCAGGGGAATGACAGAGAGAGAAACATGGATGTGAGAGAGACCCCTCAATTGGTTGCCTTCCCCCGGCGCCCCAACCAGGGCTGGAGATCAATCCTACAACCAAGCTACATGCCTTTTCTTTTTTTTCTTTTTTAATATATTTTATTGATTTTTACAGAGAGGAAGGGAGAAGGATAGAGAATCAGAAACACCGATGAGAGAGAAACATCGATCAGCTGCCTCCTGCACGCCCCCCACTGGGGATATGCCCTCAACCAAAGTACATGCCCTTGACCGGAATCGAACCCAGGACCCTTCAGTCCGCAGGCCGACACTCTACCCACTGAGCCAACCCGGCCAGGGCAATGAATTGATATCTTAAAATATCAATTTCGGCATCATCCCAGGCACCAAAGGGCGGCCGGCTCCATTCCGGGTCAGGGCACCTGCCCGGTTTCGGGCTTGGTCCCCGGTGGGGGCATGCAGGAGGCAGTCATTGGATGTTTCTTTCCCTCTCTCTCTAAAAATCAATAAACTATCCTTCAAAATAAATCAAAGAGAGGCTCCAACAACCTCTGGGGAGGTGCTCAGCGTGAGGTGAGCTTTAGAGCAACCCCGCCAGACACTCGCTCACTCGCCCTCCTTCACGTGGAGCACCTACTGTGTGCCAGGCCCCGAGCCACACAGTGCACACAGCATGTCACCTGGATCTCAGTCTGATCGGTTGATCGTTCAGTCGATCAATAAACTAACTGGTCGACCAAGTCCATTTCACGTGTAGCGTAATGATCACTTGGAAACGGGTGTTGTTATTAACCCCATTTAAACTGAGGCTAAAGGGGGGCGTGGCCTTGGGTCTCCTGGTCCGAGGCCACCTGGGCTCGGCCCCGAGTCCCTGAGTGGCCGCCCCTCGCCGACCCCAGCGGACCTGTACTCGGCCGAGGCCGGGGAGGAGGAGCCGGCCTGGGTGCAGACGGAGCGGGAGCAGTTCCGGGACTTCCGGGACCTGAACCACGACGGGCGGCTGGACGGCAGTGAGGTGGGCCACTGGGTGCTGCCCCCCGCCCAGGACCAGCCGCTGGTGGAGGCCAACCACTTGCTGCACGAGAGCGACACGGACAAGGTGCCGATGGGGCGCGGGCCGCGCTGGGGAGGGGGCGCCTGGGTGCACACGCGGCCGGGAGCGGGGCCTGGAGAGAGGGAGAGAGGGACTGAGGGAGGGAGGACCAGAGAGAGACCTTGAGGAGGGGACAGGGACCCAGAGAGAGGGGGGGCAGGGACCCAGAGAGAGGGGGGCAGAGACCCAGAGAGAGGGGAACAGGGATCCAGAGAGAGGGGCAGGGATCCAGAGAGAGAGGGACAGGGACCCAGAGAGAGGGGGGCAGGGGCCCCAGGAGAAACTAAGATGGCGGCATAGGTATATACCGGGAAATTGCTGCCTCACACAACAACTTCAAAAATACAACGAAAAGACAAAACGGATATCATCCAGAAATACAGGAAGGAGAGAGAGGGGGGCAGGGACCCAGAGAGAGGGGGGCAGGGACCCAGAGAGAGATGGGGACGGAGACCCAGATAGTGGGGGACAGGGACTGGAGGCCATACTTAGGTCCCGAGAGGGGTCTCACATGCCGGGGACGGAGCTGCCCTGCTGACCTCTGACCTCCCTCAGGACGGGCGCCTGAGCAAGGCCGAGATCCTGGGCAACTGGAACATGTTTGTGGGCAGCCAGGCC